TGCTCTACCACCTCAATAAAAATGTCATCAAAAATTGAGGCCTATTCTGGTGATTTCCCTTTTGTTTAGTTGTAGCAAGGTCAGATATTTTAGCTAGGTCAGGGTCATAGAAAAAAAGTTAAAAGTTATTTTATATATAGTATAGAAATGAGGTAGTATTTATATCTGAAAAATGTTTTTCTTTTATCACTGGTTTTTATTTCTCCATTGGGATTGATGATATTTATTATATAATAAAATAGAAAATTATGTAAAAAGAAGTAAGGAAACAGCTGTTCTTCTTTTGACCACTGATACTGTCAGCTTCTTAAGATTAAAATCTAGTTGTAATACCAAAATAATTTTATATTTATATGCAGTATAATCACCAATCTTTTAAAATTTTTAAATTATTTTTTACTACCTAATCTACACTTCCTTTGAACAATTATATCTTTAAGGGTAATGATGTTTTATTAACAGATTTGCATATTTGTGTGCTTTAATGGTTTTTTTAAAAACAAGTAAATCTAGTAGCAAAGTCTGTTTTTAGAGCAGCTGAAATATTCTCTTTTCTTAACCTACACATCTCATTCTATATGAAAGAATAATCATTGAAGCCTTTGATCCTGGTTATATAACATTTATATGTTGTTTTAATATTTTTTCAATACATTTCAGAGACACATTTTGAATTTTATACCATTGATTTTTTACTTTTTTAGCATCCTTTTATCAAGAATGCCAAACCTGTGTCGATCTTAAGAGACCTGATCATAGAAGCTATGGAGATTAAAGCTAAAAGACATGAAGAACAGCAGCGAGAACTGGAAGAGGAGGAAGAAAATTCGGTTTGTAATTACCTTCAAAAAGTTGATTTTTTATTTCTCAGTTATTTTTCTGTAATTTTTTTCTTTAAATATATCAATATATCAATAACACTGCTTCATTATACAAGCGGGGTATGTTTGTTCATTAAATCTGAAGATATATTTTGTTTTGCATTCAATGTTTGCTATCCTTTTCTAATATCTTAAGAATTAGTGATTAGTGGAACGTAAGGTTGATAGGGTAAGCTACAAGCAGCTAGTATCTAGTTGACACCAACTCTGTTTAATAAATGTTGTCTTCAATTTGGTCAGTTTTATGACTTACCTTCTGAAACTTTCTTTTAAGTGATTGTCAACTGTGCTGTATATAAAGAGTACCACAGTAGAAGATGGGTCACTAAGAGAAGGCAGAGGGGTATAAGGACATGGCATATTCAACCAGTTTATTCAGTTTACTTTGATTCATCAGTAAATTTTAATAACAAAATAAGATAATTATATCTATATATCACATTTTATAGTGTAATGTTTCTTTTCTTCACTAATGTTATTTCCTTGTTTCAAATAATGCACTTTTTTCTTTCTAGTATATATTTAGAGGTGAACATCTCTTGGTATTCAGATAGTCTTAAGATCTAAAAACACAAATTATTATATTTTTGCTTGAAAATGTAATTGGTAACATCATCTGTATTTTCCCTTAGAAGTTTTTTTTATCATATAGATTCTGTGTATATAAATAGTATTATTATTTTGCTAATTCAAATTTAGTTTTAATTTTAGAGACTAGTCATCCAATTGGAATTTCTTTTGAAACTCTTTTACCCTTTCACCAGTTATTAAACCTTGTTATATGGTAGCCCAGGACAATAACAAGTATGAATCTTTTCAGAGCTGATTTATAATCATTTTGTTCAGATATGCAGCTCTATCAGTTATCTATTTGGCAGTGAGTGTAGGCTGCCTGATGAGGCAGATGCTTTAATCTTATATTCTAGATTAAAATTTTTTACCAGTAAATTCACTATTCAGAATTCTAAGTAGCATCCTCTTAGAGGTGATTTGTCTATAAGTTTGTGATTGTGTATTAATTCTGTGAAGATAAATAAGTGTTATGAGATAATATAAAGACCTTGGTTCTTGCTCTCAAAGGGTTTTATAGTTCCCATTGAGTTCCTATGTGGTGAGAGACACAGTTTTTTATTTCTCTCTAGATAACATTTGTAAATATTAAATTTTTTTTATAGTTTCAAAAGCACTTTTATCATATTATTTCCTTTAATCTTTGAAAAAAGATTGGATATATATATTAATAAATAGTAAATAAAATGAAATAATAATATATGCATTATTATAAATGTAATTATATATATATTATTATTATTCCATTTTGCAGATTAGTGAAATTAGGTTAGGAGAGAAGTGATTTACCAAAATTCACAAAGCTACTGAAGAAGCAAGAAATAAAACTAGGTTTTTTACTTTTAGCTTCCATGCTCCTTCATCAATACTTTATGCTCACTTTCAATCAAACATTTATTAAGTACTTCTAAAATTAAATAACATTGGCTCATTAGAGTTGTACAATTTCTGATAAGGTTATGTTCTCAAGAAAGTCTAGTCTTCTGTGTTGGTACCTGTCTGCCTTTCCTTCCACCTAATGCAAACTTGTTATAAGTGCCAGACTACTTAGCTGCCTTTAATTATGGATAGGTGATAATTTTTGCTTTGCTTTTAAACTTCCTGTACTTACTGGCTGGTTTCCATTTTTGATGGATAAGGAATCATTGGATACCCCAGAACTTAACAGTTTTTACTAGTTTTAAGACCTTGCCAACTTGCTAAATGACTTCCTTTACTTTCCACTACTTCAGTGATCTCTTTCTTTACTATTTTCCTCTCCTTCATTGAACTATGCTATATTAATCTCCTTTCATATTTTAATTTTTTTTAACATGCCTAAGACTTTCCTTACTCAGGTCCTTTGCATGTGCTATTCTCTCTGCTTGAAACACTCTTCTTCCAGAGAACCCACTATATGACTTGGTTCTCATCTTTTGGGTCTCAGCTTTAAATATCAATTAAAGTACCCTTAAAAATTAGCAGCATAAAGCAATACACATTTATGATTTATGATGTCTGTAGATCAGTATTTCATGAGTGGCTTAGTTGGATGATTCTGGCTCATGGTCTCACATGAGGTTTGTCAGAGAGAGCTATAGTCATCTGAAGGCTTGACAAGGTCTGGAGTTCCAAGATATCTAACTTACATGGCTGTTAGTGGACAGCCTCATTTCCTTGCCATGTGGAACTGTCTATAGGGCTACTTGAGAGTCTTCATACCATGGCATGTGGCTTCTCTCAGAGTGAGTGATCCAAAAGTGATCCTGACAGTCTCAGGAGTTTCATATTGTCACTTCTGCCACATTTTGTTTGTTAAAAGAAGTTACTGGTCATTGAAAATGGTAGAGTAGGGAGCTCCAAGAATCAGTGCCTCCACAGAAGCAACCATTGAGTTGGCAAAAACTAACAAAGCAACTTTTTCAAAACATTGAAATGTAATTAAAAAAACTTACGCAAACTGGGGAGTGCTTAGGGAAGGAGCTGCTAAAGTTTGGTAAGAAAATATTGTGGCATTTTGCTTACATGTCTGCCACTCCCCATTTTATAACTCAGTGGCAGCCATGGGAACAGTAGAGGAGAGAAGGGGTGGAGGAGAGTAAAAACCTTGTTTTCAGAAAATTGTGCTATTGCATTTTAACCTGTCTGGCCATTCCTTGAGGGACCAGCACAGAGGCTTGCCTTTGTTTTGGGCGTCTTGAGCCGGAGCAGTTTCCTGGATGGTGTCTGTCAAAATGTCTAAATCTTCTAGCAATATCACACAAGTTTAGCGAAGCTACAGGGTATAAGATCAACACACAAAAATCAATTGTGTTTTTATGTACCAGCAATGAACAGTGGAAACAGAAAATTAAGAAGACAATTCCACTTACAATAGCATCCAAAAGCATGAAATACCTGAAAATAAATTTAACCAAGGAAGCAAGTCTTGTACAGTGAAAGTACAAACTGCCGAAAGAAATGAAAGAATACCTAAGTCAGTGGGAGGACGTCTCATGATCATGGATTGGAAGACTTTTAATATTGTTAAGATGGTAGTATTCCACAAAGTGATTCACAGCTTTATCCAGTCCCTATTGAAATTTCAGTGATCTTTTTTGCAAAATAGAAAAGCCAATTCTTAACTTCATATAGAACAAGGGGTCTCAATAGCTAAAACAATATTGAAAAGAACAAAGTTGGAGAACTAACTTCCAATTTCAAAACTTTCATAAGGCTACAATATTTGAATCAATGTGATACTGACATAAACACAGACATGTAGGCCAAAGTAATAGAATTGAGAGTCCAGAAATACCTCTATTGCTTATTGGTTTTCACCCAATGTATAATAGTCTCTTTAACAGATGGTGCTGAGATAACTAGGTAGCTACATGTAAAAGTGTGAAGTTGGATCCGTCCCTCTTAGCATATACAATAACCTTTTAATATACAGTCTAATTGGAAGGATAACAACCTAAATATTAGAGCTAAAATGTTAAAACTTTTAGAAGAAGACATAGGGGTAATCTTTATGGCTTTGGATTTAATGATACATTCCTTGATAGAACCCCAAAGTATGAGTAACAAAATAAATAGATAAATTGAACTCATCAAATTAAAAACTCTGTACATCAAAGAATATTATCAAGAAATGAGGAGACATCCTATAGAATGGGAGAAAATATTTTCAAATCATGTATTTGATGACAGTCTAGAATCCAAAATATATAAAGAACTCTGATAACTCAACAAAAGACCAACACCTAATTGAAAAATATGCAAAGGATTTCAATAGACACTTCTCTAAAAAATATAGAAATGGCCAAGAAGCACATGAACTGATACTCAGCAACATTAGTCATTAGGGAATTGCAAATGAAAGCCACAGTGAGATAACCATTGGTGGTAGATCCACTAGATGTGTGGTGATAAACAAACAAGAAAACCAGACAATACCAAGTGTTGGATGAGGATACGGAGTACTTGGAGCCCTCATTCACTGATGATGGGAATACAAACTGGTACAAATGCTGTGGAAAACAAGTTAGTAGCTGAAAACAAGTTCAACTTAAAAAGTTGGACATAGGATTACCATATGATCCAGCAATTGTGCTTCTAAGTATATGTCCCAAAGAATTGAAAACAGTATTGAAACAAATTTGTACATGAATGTTCACAGTAGCACTATTCTTAGTAGCCAAAAGGTAGAAACAATCAATTGTCCATCAACTGATGAATAAATTGTGGTATATGCACACAATGGAATGGTAGTCACAAAAAATGAAATATTGATACATAGTACAACATGGATCAATCTTGTAAACATATACTAAGTGAAAGAAGCTGGAAGTAAGAAGTCATATTGTATGATATGAATTATCCTGGATAGGTTGATATACAGAGACAAAAATCAGATTGCTGGTTGCCAAAGACTAGGCAGGAGGGGATGAGAGGAAATGGGGAGTGAATGCCTAATGGGTAAAATATTTTCTTTTGGGGTGATGGCAATGTTTTGATACTAGATAGAGGTAGGTGATTGTTGCACAACATTGTAATGGACTAAATGTCACTAATTACACACTTTAAAATAATTTTATGTTACTTGAAGTTCACCTCAATTAAAAAATAAAAACAAGTCACTTAGTCTGCCTTACTATCAAGCAGAGGTAAATTAGGCTCTACCTTTTGAGAAGAAAATTGTCAAAGAATTTATGGATCTGTTTTAAAACTAGCACAGACTGTCCTATAGGTGCAAATTATTTACATTCCTTGCCCATGCAGAATAACTCCCTATCTCTTAAAAACTGTCTCCTCATTGCCCCAAGTACTATCCCTTTAGATTATCAACTCAAAGTTATTTCATCTTCTAAACCACATTTGGGAAGAGATGAGAGTCCTTTAGTCTAGTTAACTTCAGT